TATTTATATATATATTTGAGTATAACACACACATACACACACGGTCCCTATAGTGAGTACTCGGGTACTGTCATAGCAGGCAATGAAATGAATATTGTAAAACACTTGAATTGGATCTAAAATAGTTTGCGGCGACATACAGAAACATTCAGGTCGAATTCGATCGATATACACTTTTAAAATGATAATGACTCAATAAACCATACACAGAGAGTCCCAAACGACACACGTACGCCCCCGGTCAAATTTCTAAGGACTAAAATGTACACAGCATTTTCCGTAAAGACGTCATTTAGTACATAGTATAAATGCATGGTTACCGCTGGCTGCAGACGCATCCATTATTATTAAAAGCGTACACAACAAGCATCGTCAGCGTCGTCGTCGTCGTCGCTGTCGCCATCAGAGCACGACGCCCTCCGTGGCAGCTATCGGTGATGCAGCTCACAAAGACGTCTTTGGTTTAGTATATAGCTAAAAAGCTGCACGTGACATCACCTTAAACCGCTACCAGGAGGCGCGCACGCCGAGTGTGGTAACCACGTCGATAGCATACGTCTCCGTGGTACTATTTCATACACACGCCACAAGTGGCTAAACCGTCGCCAGAACGTTGTTAGACACGCTCGAATACAAATATTTTTTTTTATAAAATAGGGTGCAACGAACACTAGGCTAAGCTTGTATGATCATAGTCCTAAAAAACAATCTAGCTTGTTACGGTTGTTACCATCGTTATAGTTGTTACCATAGTTACGGCGTTGCTTGCCGTCGCGTAAACGACGGAAATGACAGAAGATTGCAACGGAAGTGAAACAGAACTGGTGTTGAGCGAAAGACAAGTAATCTGAACTCGTCGTGGGGACGAGCGAATGCAAGCAAAACATCGCTGCTAGGCATACGTTACCATGACAACATGATACGAGATGGCCACACCATCACATGCTAGGATAACAGCCTCTCTTCGGTTACGCTCATCACACGTGACTGCTACGCGCATGCGCTCTGCTAGCGATAGCCGAGAATCGACATGTATATTACACAGAACAGCTGACATCCGTTTCGGATATAAATGACCCCCAGAAAGATAGGGGGGGGGGAAATATAAAAAAACAACAACATGCAATTTATCTGATCTCGCAAATTCACCTCTCGACTCGTAGTCAGCTAGCTAAGGTCATCTTGCTAAATATACATACAGTTCACTCGCGGCGTTCTCTCTCGCGCGTAGAATGCCAAGACACTCGAAGGGACAACGCGAAGGGATACTAAACATGATGCTAGTTACATGATCCATAGTTTTACAAAACTAACGCTCCACTGCGTGCAGACCAGCGCGGCAATATAGCAGACGACGAGAACAAGTCTGTGCACAATGCATTGCTGGCCCGATCGATCACGCCTCTCCGTTTCCATTACTCGGTCGACTATCGACGTCCTTACTAGTTTAAATAAGTGCGTAGGGTGGTGCGGCTCGTCTCACTGGAGCCAGTCATTACACAGGAGAGAGAGAGAGAGAGGAGAGGGGGAGAGGGGGGAAGGGGGAGAGAGGGAGAGAGGAGAGGCGAGAGAGCGAGAGAGGAGAGATAGGGAGAATGAGAGAGGAAGAGAGGGGGAAGGAGAGAGAGGAGAGAGGGGAAGGGGGAGAGAGGCACGAGAGGGGAAGCGGGAGAGAGCAAGAGAGGGGAAGGGGGAGAGAGAGAGAGGGAGAAGAGGAGAGAGGGAGAGAGGTAGAATGAGATGAGGAGATGCGGGCAGGAGAGGCAGCAGAGCAAGGAGAGAGAAAGTAGAAAGGGAGGGAGCAGAGAGAGAGTGAGGAAGGGAGAAATGAGGGGGTAGGCAAGGAATGGGAACGATTGGATGCAACGGACGGTCGGTAAAGAGAGTAAGGACGCGAAGAACGAGAGAAAAGGAGGGTAGAAAATGAGAAAGAGAGGCAGAGAGATTGAGTGAGAGAGAGAGAGAGAGAGAGGAGAGAGAAGAGAGAGAGAGAGAGAGAGAGGATGATCACAGACCACCTGGCAGTAGCGTATAAGTACAGTGACTATTTCCATCTCTCTGTATAGATGAACGAGCTGCAAACAGTAGCTCTGTTCGCTAACTAACATACGCTTATCATGCTTTGGTCCATTTATATTCCGCGAGGCCATATTACACAAGCTATTCGATTTTGTCTCCCCCTCAGTAATCGTACACACGCAGAAACATACACGCACGCGCACGCACGCACGCACTGCACTCACATTACTACACGTTACAACTATGTTCGCCCGTGTCCTCGGATACAGTCCCGGACTTCGGTTGTGGTCGAACTACATAGAGAAAAGCAGCAGAAGAAACCTCGATAGTTCGAACGCACCTACGGAACGCCCGTAGCTGAAGCGATAGCTCTCTCCTATTGTCGCGCCGCACGAGCACGTGCTTTCCGTTACTCGCATATTACATTGCATTACATTGTATTTACATTGTATTACATTGTATTACATCGTAGTTACATTGTCTAAGTGTACTGCTATCGACAGCTAGGTCGTTACAATCTGCACTCACCCACCGCACGCGTCACTCCGGCTATACGCGCATATATATAATACTGGGTGCGCCTGACACACGATTCACGCTGAGACAGAGAGAGAGAGACATGCAATAGTGAAACGTACTAGTCGTACGTAATGACAACGCGAATGAGTGAGTGAGTGAGTGAGTTCACGCGTACGAGAGTGATAACATTATGTCGATATTAGCCACAACCGTTGTCCGATGACTGCTAAGCTTGCGAATAAATGCTCAAACAGTTGCATAACACATATATGTATATCTACAAAAGCACGCACGCACGCACGCACGCACGCACGCACGCACGCACACACACACACACACACACACACACACACACACTCACATTCACACGCGTGTGTACGCCACCCGCCAGACGTTAGATTAGCTGATGACGTAATCGGTGACGTGTAATCAGTGGCCGATAGCCAGATAGACAGATAGATAGACACGCAGACAGACAGATAGACAGACACAGACAGATAGCGGGAAGCCGGCCGTCTATATGACAACCACGACTGCAGCACCAGCTACGCGCATTCTTCATAGCTGATGATGGCTAAGAGAATGCACGCAGCCCACCACGTCGCACAAGCAGCTGCGGGCAGGAAGAGGCAGAGGAAGAGGAGGAGAGAGGGAGCAGGAGAGAGGAAGGAGGAGGAGAGAGCGAGAAGGAGGAGGAGGGGAGGGAAAGAAAGAAGAGGCAGAGGAAGAGAGTTACTGCAAAAAGACGCGGCTACGACTGGCGGGCGGACACGCCAGACGCTAACATGCAGTCAACAAATATTCCTACCGCGGTGGTTACCCCCTCGCTTAATCAAGAGGAGCTGCAACATCCCTCGCTTAATCAAGAGGAGCTGCAACATCCCTCGCTTAATCAAGAGAAGCTGCAACCTCCCTCGCTTAATCAAGAGGAGCTGCAACCTCCCTCGCTTAATCAAAAGGAGCTGCAACATCCCTCGCTTAATCAAAAGGAGCTGCAACATCCCTCGCTTAATCAAAAGGAGCTGCAACATCCCTCGCGACAATCAATATCTTACATATACACGTATTCTGTATATTATGCTACCGTGCTTGCGAAACGAACGAGCGACCTATCGCCGTTCATCACTGCGGGCACGACTACGATCATAATAAAAAGTTACCCAGGTGCAAGAGGCAGCGTAAGGAGCGGCCGCTAAAATCTACGCTGTAAAATAACTCGGTGCGCGTGCTAAGCTAAAAAAAACAACATGCGAACAGAGATCGGCGACGCCGCTCACGGCCGATTACCGCCAGGTGGCGAGCGTGCGCAAAAAAATCTACACAGTGCGCCACCTGGTGCGCGTTTAAAATACCACGGCGACAAGAGTGCAGTATTATTGTCACCGCTAGCCGACACTGTCAAACATTTAATTCTGCGAACACGCGGTTTGACATCCGTCGCAAAACGGTAAGGCGTTTTACTGACAACCCGACTGCCGGGAAAAATACGTGTGCCTAACATCGATTGGAAGCTGGCCACTACAGTGCTGACATCTCTAGGCGAATATGTGAAATTATCGTGGCGATATTACCTAAGCAGGCGTACGAAACGCGCGAACTCTAAACGCAGAAACCCCTCCTCCTCACCAAATCATGTCTCAATATACAAATCATTAAAAAAAAGATTACAGCTAGACTTGCAGTTTCAGCATAACCTCTCATATCAGGCCACGCGCAATCAAAGGTTTTCAACCCTTTACGAGAACACCAGAGAGCGCACTGTGCCTGAGGTCCACGTCTCGCTATATACACACACACACACCCGCACGTTGCAATTCAGTCCGAAATTTTTCCACTTGAGTTTTTTTTTTGATTTTCCGTCCGGTGGCACGTCAGTCCACAGTGCCCCATCTGTTGATCCTTGAGCAGAGTTTGACTGCAGTGGCATTAGGAACCAGGATGGCTCTCCGCGTACGCCACTTTGCTAGGCAACAAAGCTCGGTTGTCGTTCCGAACACGTTGCTGTTGATGTCATGGTTATGCCTGCGTTTCTCGTGGTTTGCTATGATCTTCCTCATCCCTGGATTCCTTTGTGGGCGTTTCTATACCGTCGCTGCAAAACAAAACAACACAAGATGGAAGACACGTTATTTCGACGTTGAAGATAGTCCAAAATGTTTATCACAATGAATTGTTCTGCATCTATTTCCGTCACGCATCTTTGTGGAACCCCGCTCTCACACACACACACACACAATAGGATTCGCTGAAGCTACGATCACGTGATCTGCTTACGACTGAAATTTAGACGTTGAAAATTTAGTTCCACAATTACTACTACCAGAGTCTCGCGTTATCTCTATTGAACAGGCGGTGTAGAGAATATTGCGCGCGTCACTACTGTCAGCTATACGCATGCGTATACTAGCCGTGTGCAGAATTGCTCACGTGTCGGTAAACCCGTGTATAAACATGCAGAATGTCACGGTAGTTTAAACCGCTCCAGCACACATGCACGGATGTCACGGCACATGCATGCCTGCTGTTGTTTCATCGGTTGACAAGCTTAGGGTAGATTAGATAGACGGTTGATGGTAGCTTATTATTCGCACTATTAAGACTGCAGTGCAAGGCAGCGAAGTAGAGATTGTCGCAAAATATCGGCTTGTGTTTGTTTTTCCGTTTCTACATACAAGGTTCGTACCGTCGCCACACGTTTTATGCTGGTTCAGAACTAATACCCTCTAAAGTCCCTCTCTGCCCGGATAATTATATCAAAAGGACATTTAAATTAAACTTCGTAGATTTTCCTGCCTCTCGTATCTCGTAATGTATATATTAGGTTATATCGTAAGTTATTACGTTATCGGTTACACTTCCTTTGTAACTGCACTGCACTCGGCGAATGAAGAAATTAGTCTGGCAATACACGAATTACAGATGTACCGGGAAGCACCCGATTTTAAATGAACCGCGAGGAAACAAAATCCCGGTATTGCCGCGATGTCTCAAGCGTAAAGACACCGCGCTTTTGTCGGCAAAATGATGCCAGAGAAACAATCACTGGAGAAGGGACTTTGAAGCTACCGCTCGTAGCAGAAAAAAACACGTTGCTTCGTGGCTCGCTATGCATTTACCAAAGACTATGTTCACCATAGAATCTAACGAATATATATATATATAGAGAGAGAGAGATAGAGAGAGAGAAGGGGGGGGGGAGAGTATGCAAGGGCACGTAAGCTACAATGATGTAGGAACATACAAACACGCACAGAATCTGGGTTGGAAACGAAGTGTACACACTGTAACGTGTTACAATTTTACGCACAGATGTAGTCAGGCATCTAACTGGAATGGAGACAAGCGAAACCTTCTAACAAGTAATGTCCACCTAATTTATGCGACTGTTATATTGTAACATGAAATAAAGAGAAGTGTAAACACTAGATATCTTGAGATGAAACAGCAATAATCATGATACAGTAATGAGCATGATACAGCAATAATCATGATACAGTAATGAGCATGATGCATCTATAAGCATGATACAACTATGAGCATGATATAGTAATGAGCATGGGACAGCAATGAGCATGATACAGCTATGACATGATACAACTATGAGCATGATACAGCTATGAGCATGATGTAGTAATGAGCATGATACAGTAATGAACATGATACATCTATGAGCATGATGTAGTAATGAGCATGATACAGTAATGAACATGGAACAACAATGAGCATGGTACAGTAATGAGCACGATACAGTAAAGATCGTGATACATCTATGATCATGATACAGCTATGAGCATGATACAGCTATGAGCATGATAGAGCTATGAGCAGGATACAGCTATGAGCATGATACAGCTATGAGCATGATACATCTATGATCATGAAACAGCTATGCGCATGATACATCTATGATCATGATAGAGCTATGAGCATGATACAGCTATGAGCATGATACATCTATGATCATGAAACAGCTATGCGCATGATACATCTATGATCATGATACAGCTATGAGCATGATAGAGCTATGATCATGAAACAGCTATGCGCATGATACATCTATGATCATGATACAGCTATGAGCATGGGACAGCAATGCGCATGATATAGGAATGAGCATGATACAGCTATGACCACGAGACAGCAATGAACATGATATGAGTAAAGAGAATGGTACATGCGGTGACAGCATGACTGTGTCAGTATACCCTACCCCGCATCACCACACGTGCATTGCGAACGCGTTTAACGGCTAGCGGTAGCAATCCTTGAAATGCTATACTAGCTGAACAAGTCCTTGAACGACAGATGAGTGTATTATAACTGCGGATGCAACGTGGATGCGTCTTCCAATAGAAACCGTACGAGGAGTACAAAGAAGATCTCTTGGCAAATACTATAATTGTAGCATCTCATATTGCCAGCCTAAAACACTAAACATGCAGTAGGATTATACATGCTTGGGTGGACATCAAATCTATAGGAGCGTGAAAACGAAACGTGTTGCAGGAATATATGACTTACAGCAAATTAAAAATCACCGAAAATCTGATCAACTACTCGTTTCTGGAAAAAACAAAAATCGTAACACACACGTTTACTCCCATGCGCATCGGAATCGATCAGCAAACATTTACAGAATTAAAATGTTCTTCCCAAAAAAACCATCCCAAAAGTTCTCAGCAAATTATAAAAACTTTCGCAAGCTACGAAAAATACGCAAAAACACACCTCTTGCTATATCCGCCCCCATTCGCCAGTATTACAATACAGGTAAATGAATAATCGTACTGGATATAAAATATAAAGTGCATGTCGGACGACTAGATACTGTGCTTTTCTTTTTGTCCTTTATACATTTATACATGACACTGAGCGAACTGGTTGCAATGTAGGACGAAATCAAGTAACAATTAAACTACTGTTTGTTACAACATGGTTCGTCTGCCTGTCGGCCGCTTGGATCTGTTGGCATGACAACCACAGTTCGTGTCTACCTTGTCTACGCTGCCCCGCGTCATATGTCCCCGTGCGGTGACCGATTGTGTGATTATCAGCACAGAACACCTGCCGTGTTCTCTCTCAGTACAACAGAGAGATTGGGGAATATAACTGCCACGGCGATCTGTTATAAGCGAGTATATATACATTGTCATTGATCACACGCGCACGCACGCTGCGCGCAATCAAAACTCTGACCTTCGTGTGTGAAAACCTCCGCGTTTAATCTACCGAGCAGGGCAGCAGTGGAGACACAAACCGGTCCAATTATCATTGCCGCTCTCGCGCACTCTCTCGTTTTGCGCTAGGTTCAGTTACCGATATGTACTGTCTGTATTATATGATGTAGAATAGAGCATCCCCCGAAATTAAATCTTTGAGATAAGAGCAATGCAGCGTAGACGAGGCAGCAACGCACCAACTTGCATTGATTTTACTTGCACGCGTAGATGTTACATTGATAAGTCTGTGTATAAACGGACGTGTATAGAGAGCAAGCAGACACGAGTGCACACACACATCACCTACCCATCCGACTCTTGCTGTATCATCGGTGTTTCCTCTGTCGCCCTATCCTTATCCTCGGGCTCTTTCTCCTCCATCTTAATCTCCTCAGGGGCTTCCTCTTTGCTGTAAACGAGAATAGAATTTCATAAGCGACAACGAGGTATAGATACCGTATGTAGTACAGACAGCATCACCTGCTAAAGCTAGGCCAAAAAATTCTATCCTATCCCGACCTGCCCCGTAAAACGCTAGAGAAAAAATGTTTTCTTTCTACCGAAATTTGCTTACTTGTTCCATTGTGTTGCACCATATATATCTATATATATATATATATATATATATATATCTATATATATATATAATATATAAACACGTATTTCCATCTATTATTGCACACAGTGCTTAGAAATTCATCCCTATGCATCCGAAATGCACTTTGCTGCTTCAGTACGGTGAATCATGACCTATTTTGCAAACATATCGACCCTTTCCAGTCTATAAATAATATATAAATACGCATACATCTACAGATTGATGAAGCCACATTAAAATTCCAACAACCTTTGCACGCATTAAAGCTGGCAGTAAGATCGCCACTTAAAGCCTAGGACACACTGTGCGATTTCCTACGCTGGCCGCTTGCGATCCGCCGATCGATAAATACGGTGCCGGGTCGAAAAACCGGGCGGAAATATTCAACATGTTGAATACGAGCGATGCGCCGGGCGTATGCGATCGCGAGCGAAATACGCTGCCGTGAGACCGGCCACACCGCGCGGATCTGGCACCGTATTTATCGATCGCAAGGCTTACAGCCAACAGTGTTACCGCGGCAAAAAGCCAACAGCGCCCCCTAGTGGCCGGTTTTATGAAGCGTTTACAAAATTTTTTGTAAACGCGTGATTTTGTAAACGCATAAGATTTTTGTGAAGCGTTTTACAAAGATCGTATCGACATTGTACGCAAAAGACGGCCGTTCTGTTGTTCTAGGGTACTTGTGGCAGCGAATATCTGCCATTATGATTCAATAGAACGCAAGCAGATCGTAGCAAGCTAACAGGCTAACATAGGGGGCACTGTAGTATAGCAAAAACACGCTCTTCGATCTTTCTTTTTTTGCATCAAGAAAATCCAGCCACAACCTATAAAAAAAAGCTGTAACAGAATTTATGACATGAAGCGAATAGCACCTGCCAATCAGCGTGCTGATAGCAGTAGAAGCCATAAGAAACCAGCACAGATTCACAGCAAATGCTCCCAAGTCACAGACAAAATATGCAACAAGTAAAATAATAAACAAAAACCGGAAGATCAGGCATGCGAGAATGTGTTGTATACATCAAGACAAAGACACGGTGCTAGGTTCTGACGGCTGCTACACGTACTTGTATAAACTATATATGTTAGATACATGTATTCAGACACTCACGCACGCACGTACGCCCGCACACACACACACACAAGCACGCACGCACGCAAGCACGCACGCACATAGATATCCACAACAAACATAGAGTAGTGGGATTAAGGCGCAAGGCAGCACATGCACATGTGAAACTGGCGATAAGGTTAAAGCGGCCACGGGGGAAGCAGCAGCTAATGCACAACAAAGGTACAGGTGTTTTTTTTAAACATGGGATAGCAACATGCATCTCGGGGAAAAAACTAAAATATATTCATCCCGCGCAGGATATATAGTTGTTTGTAGTTGTATAAAGCTGTAATTTGTGTAACCCTAATCGACGTTGCCATCTTTCTACAAAAACAGCACCATATATTGACTTCACTGGCTTTTATAAAACCTAGACACGCAGTAGAAAATTGGGCCGTGAAATCATATCGCATACAGCTTTCGCAATACAGCTTTTGTTATTACGTCCCCCGCTTTTCGAACGGATGCCACAAGAAGACGGCAGTAAGAGAGATTAGGATACCGCCCCCTTGCTCTTGAACGCATTTTATTTCCGAGGCGAATTCAGGATGTCACGTGACCGGGGGGCTGTTGCTCTGCTGTAGAGTTAATCGTAGTGTTATGTACGCATGCGCGAACACACTTCAACTACTAACACCGCACGTCAATCTCCCTCTCCCACTGCGAACAGAAAGCGGACCAACGAACCTTCTTCTAATAAATTTCCGGTTTACTGACAAGGCGTGCAGTCGAAGCCTCCACGAATATGGCCGCAATTTTATTTTCGCAATTTTTCTCCGCGTGATTACGCGTGATTCGCGACTCGCCAAGCTATCGTGTTCCTCACTCTACATCTCTGCGGCTACAGTCGCAATAGTGGCAGGGAGATCTACGCGTGTGCGACCGTGACTCCGATCGGAAGACACTCGCAATATCGGGCGTACCACGCGCGCGGGATATAATCGGAAGGAAGAATTTGTATTTATACTCAACCCAATCATACATTGGTTAGATGTCAGAACTATTAGATAGTGCTGACACTTACCGTTCTTGTACTAGCAGTAATTTGTATTTCTAAACTTGAAAGATTATATTTTGTTCGTATATTGTAATGTAATTTGTATTCTGTGACAATCGTTTGCATTTACTGTTGGTGTCTAGAATAAAGGCATTACAATGAATATGATTGTGTTGAGTGATATTAAAGGTTTTGTAAAAAGCGACAGCGTTATGCAAGCAGTAGCACTAGTTAGCGGTGACGCGCGCGCAGCTCCCCCTCGCGGCCGAGGCTTCGTTCTTACTCCTCCGGTTCCAGCTCCTCAGCGGGTGTCTCCACGGTGTCTTCCTCCTTCGGTTCCACGTCGGGTTCGGGGTCCTTACTGTATGTGTGAGTGGTGGGCGGCGGGGGAGAAACGAGAACATACGCACAGGCGTGTAATAACAGATAACACAAATACGCGCGTGCGTGCGTGTCCGTAGATGATACACATAGAACGAACAAGGAGAGGCACAGCGAGGTGGGGAGGAAGAAAGAGACGAAGAAAGAGAGGAATGATATTAAGAGAGAGAGAGAGAGAGAGAGAGAGAGAGAGAGAGAGAGAGAGAGAGAGAGAGAGAGAGAGAGAGAGAGAGAGAGAGAGAGAGAGAGAGAGAGAGAGAGAGAGTAGAGAGAGAGAGAGAGACGAGAAGAGAGAGAGAGAGAGAGAGAGAGAGAGAGAAGAGAGAGAGAGAGAGAGATGAGAGAGACGAGAGAGATGAAGAGAAGATGACAGAAATATGGTACAGACGGCAATAGAAAACGAGTATAAATCAAGGAATCACAAGAGCGTGCGAGAGAGAGGAGAGAGAGAAGAGAGAAATAGGAGAGAGAGAGAGAGCAGAACGGCGGGTCGCGAGAAGCGAGGAGAAGAACGTAATAAACGCTAGAAGAAATAACATTGCCCTATAATTGCGGGGTAACCATGCGTAAGCCAAATCATCAAAATATCAATAGCCAATTGTATCTAAGCATGCAAAACATTGCATGTCAATATCTAAAAATAATAACTAAAAATCAATTAAAAGGCTGTGTTTAATGATGTTGAAGGCCCATGCACATCCACTCCAGGCACTTCAACTTTAATAATAAATTACGAAGACTTGCAATATTTTAGCATTGCAATCTATAGTTTCAATAAAAAAAAACACCAAGTATAATTATTTATTGTATATTTTTTAAATTCCACATTAAATAAGCATCGTAGATATAATGTCACTGCTCCATCCACAACATTTGAGGCCTACCATCATCAACATCAGTTCATTATTCATGTTGTACAGAGAGAGGAGCAGCAGTTGTGTAACTAATGCTCCATCATCCCCAACAAACATCTCCCAATTTGCCAAAAGCATGTTTTTAGTTATTTCTCATTGATAATGACAGGAAAATCTACATCTTAGCATATCTAACAAGCAATTACTCTGACAGACGAATAAGTGTTCACTTTAGGAATACGAAACATGTATATGAGGGAAGAACAAAACATGAATCATCTAAGAAGAAGGATAAAAAATATAAAAGGTGACAATGGCACATACATACAGGAGAGAGCATCAGGGTTATGCTTACACCTAAATGAATCGACCGGAAGTTAAATGGAATTCAATCTCACAGTATAATCTAATGATTGTTGCGTGGGTGTATAGAAGACGTGGGGCATCGTAGTGCTAGTTCATCGGCAATATTTACGTCACAGCGTCTATCAATAAATTAAATAAATATATATAATATATATATATACAAGAGCTAATAATAGATGGTATTATCCGTCTTGATATACAGCCGTTGAACTCAGAGATTAAAGAAAAACCTTTGTAACCTTTGTCCGGCAATGCTCAAGGACACGAAAGATCTTGGATTTCGTTAGAAATTTCAACAGCACCGTATCAGCTCATTTCGGATTAGCGAATTTTATCAAAATGATAACACTTAATGCCTAAATAAGCCAGCTTCTACAGCGAATCACACTATATATTAGTGGGAGGCGCATCCAGCTGGTATAAATTCTATGAGCTAGAGCTAGAAAGTTACCTCCGACTATGACACGGCTTCTTTCTCTCATCTCTCGCCAGGCCGTCTCTTAACTCCATAAAGTTTACATAGCAAATATATAGCTCAGTCGCATAGCAAAGTAGTATAGCTCATAGTAGACATAATTTACATGCTTCGTCTCGCTTATAAGTCGCCCTCACAGAAATATGGAAGGTAAAGAAAAGCAAGAGTCTAGGCGTCAGACAGTTAGAATAGAAGAGTAATCGATAATTTTTAACTGTGGTTAAAATCAAACATCCGGCCAAGGGTACTGCGAATTAATCGGTTATATCTGGATGCAGTCAAGACGCCATTTTCTAATTCACTGGGCAAAGTTATTAAAACGTATTTTTATAAAACTAATGTTGATAGAAAAGAAGGAAATGAGAGTGCTTAAACACACGGGAACATACTTTGCCGGCCAACAGAAGCCCCAGAAATACAATATTTAATTATTTAATAACCTATCTTCGAGGGATTAACAGTAATGAGAATACATTTTATGCCGAATTGCAACGGATTCCAACTGAAAGGCATTGCGGCGCTAACAGAATTTCAGCTGTGACAAAAGCCAGCATTTCCACTTTTAGACAGCTCGACTACATATTAACGATCCGTAAAAAATGTCGATTAACACGGCCAATGCTACCGTCCACAACACACTCACACACGCACACTACATCACTCACGCACTGCACGCACAAGGCAACACAACACACAACACACGCACAACACCACGCACCCACAATGCACACAAGAACACAAACACAGCGCACACTCACTCACGCATGCACGCACGCATCGCACGCACGCACGCACGACCCTGCACAGCACACACCGTTACACAACACACACACACACACAACACACAATGCACCCACACGCACACGCGGCGCACACCACACACACATCACATGCACGCGCGCGCGTGGCGCAGCTGACGCCACGCACCACGCTAGCGAGACGCGCAACAGAGAGATAGATACACAGAGTAGTAGAGTACGTACAGTTGATGCATCATATACGTGTACACACGCAAAAGCAGAGAACACACAATGTGCAGTACAACCACAGACGTCAACGCAAAACAAACCCACGGGTTAGTAGTTGCTACGAGAAGACCACACCAGTGCTCCTCCGCGGCTACTCGTGCGACAGACAACGTGGTGCTGTCGCGAGCTATACACACACACACACACACACATATATATATATATATATATATACACGGTGAGCTAGAACAAGGGGCACGAGAGCGCCGTAGAGCTTGCTTGCACCCTCGTACAATCAGCAGCTTGTCGCTTCGTGCACAGACACGGCTGGCGATTGCACGACAGAGTCCGTGAAGCACAGCAGAAAAACCATATAGCAGTCATTAGTAGGTGTGAGACAGCAGAACGAGAAATGCAAATGCCCGAGCGAGGAGTCATGATGCACAGACGGTAGCCAGCAGTTTGCACGCGAACTACAGTTTTGGGACGACCCGAGGAAACTTGGCGTGTGAAACCCAGGGCGAGTCAATGGGGATGATCATCCAGAACGGAAATGAAATGGTTAATTGAATTTCTGTGTTCTAAAATGTTCTGCCGTTTCAGTCGAGCGAGGCAACCGTTAATAACTCTGGCTGCGCTACGAAAACAATTCGCAAAAACAAAATTTATAGATCAACGGCACTGGCACCCCTCTGATCAGGGAATCTCTCCTTTGCAGTATCTCCTTCTACCCTCTTCTCCTCTCGAGTGACGAAGAACCAGTCTCCCCCTCTCCCCGCCCCATCCCGAGAGAGACCCCCCCCCAAACTCGTTCGCTCATGCAAACTGCGCGTCGGCGTGCTGCCGGCGCCCCCTGGCGGCGCATCGACTCCTCGCTCCGGCATCCGGAGGCGGCACATCGAGAGACTCTTACACGTTGTCGTCCTGCGGTTCCTCCACGGTCACCGTCGGTTTGGGTTTCGCGTCAGCCTCGCTACATAAAATAATTAAGGAGGAGACAAGAGCGATGAGAACATGACGAGCCGTGCCGCCGTCACGCGATGCGTCGCCACGCCACGATGCGGCATGCGACGCCACGATGCTACGTCACGATGCGGCATGTGACGCCACGATGCTACGCCACGATGTGGCATGCAACGCCACGATGCGGCATGCAACGCCACGATGCTACGCCACGATGCTACGCCACGATGTGGCATGCAACGCCACGATGCGGCATGCAACGCCACGATGCTACGCCACGATGCTACGCCACGATGCGGCATGTGACGCCACGATGTGGCATGCAACGCCACGATGCGGCACGCAATACCACGACGTGGCATGAGACGCAATGCAATTTTGCAGCACGGAACGCAACACCACGACGCAGAATGGAACGCAACACCACGCCGCAGCATCACGCAATGCCATATGTCACATCGCGACGCTCTGCCACGCTGCAGCGTGCGACGCAACACCATGCCACAGCGCGTGACACAACGCTATGCCACAGCACAGCTGCCTTTAACCGATTCCTTGTTCACCGCAACCCAGCGTCAGACATAGGACAAGACGCAACATGGCGGGAGTAAGAGCAAGGCAGTGCGGTCGTGACTGTTCGCTGCTGTGCAGGAAGACTATACTAAATATGAAGAATTAGATAGTAAAAACTAATATATTCGAGATTTAAATCAACTTGCTTTACGTTAAATGAATTTAACTTGCGATTTTGTCGGCAGTGAAAAACTTGCGCGTTTGAACAGGCCAGTCAATTGGTTTGGTATCGGTTAGTGAACGAGAAATCTTATTTCCAGGGTGGCGCCACGAACAGGAAACAGCGGACGAATGCCACAATACGCCACAATACAACAGAGAAGTGCAGGCAAAAGTGATTGTTTCACAATAATTAAACTCCCTAATTACAGCTGATTACTGTCGATTATGAATTATAAACGAGCCTGTACTAAGAGGGAATCTTATAACTTGAAATAATATCAACAGAAACACTTAGTTAACTTTGTTAAAGTGGAAATGGGATGGGGCACTGTGCAGTTAAATGCTATATAGCTCCAATGAAAAATCAAAGATATTTTTGAAGACCATTAATATTACATCCGAATTGCAAACGGTAATTACCAGCGAATATTGCAGCAGAAAAAACCCACTTGCACCTGCACTCCGTCTATGAATATATGTCGTACAGGATCACCACAACACCACCAATTATAGTAAGTGTTAAGAAATAAATGTACGTACACAGGAATAAGTTAACTGCAATCATGGACTCGCTTAATTAACACTCACATGAAACGACTGATCGCCATGACGACACCGTATCACGAAACAAACAACCTCAAACGCAAACCACAACAGTCTTCGAATCGAACGAAAACACTGCGCTGATTACAAATCAAATGCAAATAAATCGAAAGGATCGAAATCGGGGTGACGCACTCGTGGCACCCTTCCTTCTCGCACGCACGCATGTCTCTCTCAAGGCTTCCCTCACTACACCTTCCTCCGCCGCCGCGCAGGACTGAAACAAGAGGCACGCAACGCCGCTGCCACCGACTCAGCGTAGCGTAACACCCTAGTAAAAACGTAAAACCCTAGTAAAGGCGTAACACCCTATTAAAGACGTAACACCCTAATGCTCTGAAACGAGCTTACCGCGGTGGTCGCGTAAGCTACCTACCCAGTTCTCCCCTCCTCCATCTGCACCTCCTTCACTTTGGCCGAGGTGGCTTCCTTTCCGCACAGGTTGACGCAGATTCCCCACAGCACGCCGCACTGGTTCGTCATGTAGCAGTAGACGTCTACGATGATGAGCACGATGAGCAGGATGGCGATGATGATGCCGACGATGGCGCCGGTAGACAGACCGCCCGACTTCACCTCCTTAGGCGTTACGTACGGATCGATGTCCTGACCTGTATACGCAGGTAGATAACATATATTTAAAGATGAGATGTTCCTACTATAGTTTGAATCATTATTAAACTAAAAAAAATGCCTAGAATGTTGTTTTTTTGGAAATGGAAAAGTTAGAAGTGTTTATGGTATTATGTGTATCTATCTTTCAAGTCACGTGTTCAACACAAAAGCATATTTATATAATTTATGTCAAACAGCCAGCATGTAATATCTGTCCAGCTAAGAACATGTCTTAAACTTTGAACATATTTCGATTTATCGTATATTCTAAATTTGTACAGTGTGAGTTAATATCCTACGACTACAAACCTTCCACCGATTATCAATCAATCACGGAGAACATGCACACGATATCAATTTATATCCCACACTGTATCGACTGCACTTTAGCGACTCGCAATCTAAACGGATTTGCGCGAGAACACGTTTAAATCGAACTTCATCCATCAAAAATCTCACTTAGCAAATGCGAGTGCAGCAGTAGGGACAAACAACCGTGACCAGTCTGTCACGGACACAGCACAATCAACCATAATCCCCAAAGAACCACAACGTTCTCCAAATATCTCCTTCATACGGTAAGCACCCTCAGGAATTCGACACGGTACGCCGAACAATGTAAAGACCTGAATCGAAATTCCAACCGAAAGAATACATATTTTCGATACAGTCGTATGAATAATACAGCCAGCGAGCAAGCTAGCCAGCGAGAGCTGGGTAAAAAGGGAGACAGTTGACGCCCCTCCCCCCACGATTACATGTTGTCATATATATGGTCAGTGGCGAATTGCCCACGGTCACCTGCCCAGAACTAGACCCTCACATGACTATGCCTTCCCCAATTCCAAAATGGGAAACAGCTACGCCTCTGAAAGCTGTGCAGCAACTCTTGTTGCAATTCTTGCAATCGGCATTTTGCACAGAGATCCCTTCCTCAAACCAATGCGCGACTTTACCTCCCCTGGATAAAAATGGGGATTTGCTACACCGCTGAAAGCTGTGCGACAACTTTTGCTGCAATTCTCGCAATTTTTCATCAAGACTCCTTCATCCAACCAACGTGGGCGACTTTGCCTTCCCTGGGCAGAATGGGCAGCAACTTTTGTTGCAATTCTCGCGATATTGCACCGAAATCCCTTCGTCAAACCAACGCGCGACCAGTGGCGCCCTCACCTGGCTGTGTACGGAAGAAGTGTTCGGCGGGCTGGCTCTTCCCGATCTCATTCTTTGCGAATATCTTCACATAGTACTCCGTGTCTGCCTTCAGGCCGCGCAGGTCGAAGCTGGTCTGCGGCGGGTCTACGGTGCTGCGGCCCTCTCCTCCTTCCTTCACGTACTGATCTGTCTTGTTATCAGCGTACTTGATCTGCCAATGTACGTACAAATATGATTATATGTTAATACATTATATATATATATATATATAAGAAGCAAAAACACACGCACACCTATGCAGTATACAAAGATACTAATATAAAAATAGAATGAGGTGTCAATTCTTCATTTTGTAATTTCATATTCATATATATATATAGTGCAATATGTAACAATTGACAGCTGTTATTGAGAATCCGCATTTGACAAATTTTTGTGCCAAGACCGTACGCGCAAGCCGCTTTCTGGAGGGAACTTGTCGCATACGCAAATTCAGTGAAATATTTGTCGAGTGTTTCCGGAAAAGCTCCTTTAATTTCCGAAAATTATCATACGCACGCGAAAACGGACAGTTCAGGTTATGTACAGCTGGGAGCAGTATTTAGCGAGGCTTACAAGTTTAGATTACGCTAGTTCTTGGCTGAGCCAAACATTCTTACACAGAATTTCCCGTTTTCCTCTGCACACGAAACGGTTTTGCTCGACAGAAATGAGTGAAGTCAAAAACATGCATGAATGCATGCATGCACAACCCCTATAATACGATTTCACTAGTGCTTCTAGTCGATTGCACATTAGAGCTAAACAAATCATCTTCTATTTGTGCAGAATTCCCGGGGACTGGAGAAAATTGCAAAATGTTCTTAACACAGCAAAACCCATCAATAATGAAGTGCTGAAACTTTTACCACAGCCAGGGGGCCCGTTACCAGAAAAATTTGTCTTAACATTAAATGAATTAATTTCTTAACATGAATTTTTCCTCGAAGACCAATTAACAATTCACTGCGTTGAGAAACTTTGCAGTGTTTCTCTCATCGGTCTATGAGAAAAGATTCATGTTAACAATAATTTTATTTCTGGCAACAGGCCCCTGCATGTACATGAAAATTTTGAAATGCATCAACACAACATTGTTACACAAACAAATCTTTGTGCAGGAACCATAATTTTTCACACTTCGACGTTTCTCAAACACACTCGTTTGCTACATTTTTCAACAGTCACCTGCAATGCTATAAACACGACAATATGATGACAGACATGGAATTTTACATGCAAACAACATCCCTTACAAGTATTCGTTACAATAGCGACGTTGTATTATAACCATTTATTAATAATTAAAATTATTATAACCATGCATTATAACCATACAATAACTGGGGACATAATAATAACAACTAGAGCACTCGGAGAGCACAGACCTCCGCCAAGGCAGCTGCATTTTCGTGAAATTTTTTATTAATTAATTAATTAAGTGGAAAAATTAATTAATTAATTAATTAATTAAATAATTAATTGGATCCAGATTAGTGCGAGCGTGCAGGTGGGGGAGGACTGTGGTTGCCCCTTAGCCTGTAGTTGCGTGTTTGTAAGTCAACAGCCAGCGCACCTAGCGGAAGTGAACTGAAACGTGCATGGTAACACACAAACCCACAAACCAACACTCAAAGACACGCCGGTGAAAACATAACCTCCGCCAAGCCCCTGGCGGAGGTAATAACCATGGGGCATGGTAAATATAACCATGGTAAATATAATAACCATGGGGGCATATCCTACTCACCGCATGATAGAATATCTCATAGTATTCAATGTCCTTGCCACCATTGCTAATCGGTGGTGACCACGTTAGCGTGTACTTGTTCGCGTGCTCGCTGTCCTGCTTTTTCTCGGCAAAGCGCGGACTGTCTGGCTCTCTCACCTACAACCACATAAAAATATGTCTTACTCGCCACGTAAAAATGTGCTTACATCTTCACGATAGTGCGTAGATTTCGCTATATTCACATGATAATCATATTCTCGTTTTGATTGAGTAGAGGGCATTGCTTGTTGCAAAACACCTTAATCATTATCTGTATCGTATGCAGTCATGTATGTCATGTCTATATTTTTAGAAGAATTCATCCACACATGCCTGACTGTATGTCTGACCATACACCGGAGATTGGATATGGTCTTGAGGAAGTGCTTGGCGAAGAATTTTGATACGAATACATCTATGCAAATGTCACCAGTCAACCGAAATGATGGCGCACAGGATGTGTGATAAACACACTGCTAAGAAACTAGTAGGCCTACGTGTGAAATCACTCTCTCTCTCTCTCTCTCTTTTCCCCCATCCTCTTTCTCTCTCTCTTTGCCCTTTCTCTCTGTCGCTCTCTCTCTCTTTCTCTTTCTCTTTCTCTCTCTCTCTCTCTCTCTCTTTCTCTTTTTTTCTCTATCTCTCCCTTCCCCCTCCTCTCTCTTCTTCCCTCCTTCCCTTTCTTCGCCCTCTTTCTCTTTCTCTCCCTTTCTTTCTATCTCTCTCCCTTTCTCTCGCTCTCTCTTGCCCCCCTCTCTCTATCTGTCTCTCTTTCTCTCTCTCCCCTCCCTCCTTCCCTCCCCCTTCCCTTGCTCTCTCTCTTTATCTGTTTCTCTCTCCCTCACTCCCTGTCTCTCTCTCACTCTCCCTCCCTCCTCCCTTTCCCTCCCCCTCTCGCGCTCTCTCCCCCTCTCTCACGCTAGGTTAATAGATCAACGTGAGTCTCCAGTGCTATTCCCTTGTACGGCACGCCCGCTCCCACGAGATTCACGTGAAACCACCCTGATCGACATCTTTCTGACCCTCCCTCCTTCCCTTCACTCCCCCTCTCTATCTCTCTCTCCCTCCCTCCTCCCTTTCCCTCTCTCTCTCCCTCCCTCCTTCCCTCCTCTCTCTCTCTCTCTCTCCCTCCCTCCTTCCCTCCTCTCTCTCTCTCTCTCTCCCTCCTTCCCTCCTCTCTCTCTCCTTCTCTCTCTTCCTCCCTTTCCCGTCCTCGCGCTTCACTCCTCTCTATCTCTCTCTCCCTCCCTCCTCCCTTTCCCTCCTTCCCTTCACTCCCCCTCTCTATCTCTCTCTCCCTCCCTCCTCCCTTTCCCTCCTTCCCTTCACTCCCCCTCTTCCATACACTCTCTCTCGTCCCTCCCTCCTCCCTTTCCTCTTCCCTTCGACTCCCCTGCTCCTATCTCTCTCTTCCCTCCCCCCCCTCCTCCCTTTCCCTCCTTCCCTATCACTCCCCACCTCTCTATTCTCTCTCCGCTCCCTCCGTCCCTTTCCCGTTCGCTTCCTTTCAGGCTCCCCTTCTATCTCTGCTCTCCCCATACCCTCCTCCCTTTCCCTCCTTGATCCTTCACTCCCCTTCTCTCTCTCTCTCCCTCCTCCTCCCTTCCGCCTCCTTCCCCTTCGACTCCCCTCTCCTATCCTCGTCCCTCCCTCCTCCCTTTCCTTCTCTCTCTCTCTCTCCTCCCTTCCTCCTTGCCGCTCCTCTCTCTCACTCTCTCTCTCTCTACTACTCTCCTCCTCTTCCTCCTCTCTATGCATCTCTCTCCTCTCTCTCTCTTCTTTTCTCTCTCTCGATCCATCTCTCTCCTCTCTCTCCCTCCTCTTTTCTCTCTCTCTCTCTCCTCCCCGCGGCCATCCTTCCTCCTCTCTTCTCTCCTCTCTCTCGTTCCTGCCCTCCTTCCTCTCCTCTCTCTCTCTCTCTCTGTTCCTACTTTTCTCCTCCCTCCTCTTTTTTTCTCTATCTTCCTCCCCCTCTCTCCTCTTATTGCCCCCCTCTTCCTTTTCTTTACCCCTACTTTCTCTTCTGTGCTCTCTCTCATTTCCCCTCTCTGCTATGCTGTCCTCTCCTCTCTCTCTCTCCCCTCCTTCCTCCCACCGACCGCCCGGACCCCTTCCCTTGCTCTCTCCTCATATCTGTATTCTCTCTTCCCTCACCTCCCCTTTCTCCTCTCCTCTCGCTTGCTCTCACTTCCCTCCCTCCCTCCTTTCCTCCCCCTCCTCTCACGCTAGGTTATAGATCAAGTCTGTGAGTCCCAGTGCATTCCCTCACTTTGCACGCGCGTCCCACGAGATTCATCGTGAAGGCACGCCTGAAACTCGACATCTTTCTCGACCCTCCTCCTTCCCCCTTTCACTCCCCTTCTATCTCTCCTCTCCCCTCCTCCCCTCCTCGCCTTTCCCGTCCCTTCCCTTCATCTCACTACTCTATCTCTTCTCCCTCCCTCCCTCCCTTTTCCTCCTTCCCTTCACTGCCCGCTCTCTATTCTCTCCTCCTCGTCCTTCCCTTTCCCTCCTTCCCCATTACTACTCACCCCTCATCTATCTCTCTCTTCCTCCGCTCCTCTCTTCCCTCCTTCCCTTCTCCCCCTCTCTATCCTCTCTCTCGCGTCGCCTCCTCCCTTTCCCTCCTTCCCTCACTTCCCCCTCTCTATCTCTTCGTCTTCTCCTCTCCTACCACTTCCCGTCCTTCCCTTCACGTCCCCCTCTCTTATCTCTCCTCTCCCGTCCTTCCTCTCTTTCCCTCCGGTTCCTTTCTCCCGCCTCTCTAGTCTCTCTCTCCCTCCCTCCTCGCCTTTCCCTCTATTCCTTCGACCCCCTCTCGTATTCTCTCTCGTCCCTCCCCTAGCCTTTTCCCTCCTGCTTCTCTGCTCTCCCTTCCTCCTTCCCATCCTCTCTCTCTCTCTCGTCTACTCTATCTCTCTCTCTCTGTCTCTTATCTCTCCTCCTCCTTCCCTCCTCTCTCCTTCTCTCTCGTCTCCGTCTCTGTCTCTCTCTCTCTCTCTCTCTCTCCTCCCTCCCTCCTCTCTCTCTCTCTCCCTCTCCCTCCCTCCTTCCCTCCCCCTCTCTCTCTCCAGTGATAGCTGACAGGTTAATAGATTGCATGGCGGTGTGCTTACTACGTGAGTCTCCAGCTTTATTCCCTCGTACGGCACGCCCGCTCCCACGAGGTTCACCACGCTCATCGACATCTCATAAGCTGTGCTCGGCTCCAGACCGTCGAGGATATACGGCCCCACGCCTTCAGCTGCGATCCCGAAAAGAAAGAAAAAACGCAGACGGTTCGGTTCCCATGGATACTCGGCGACTCGCTCGCTCGTCTTTGCCAGGGACTCGGCTTAATACCTTAATGCGCGCGCGTTGTCGATTAAATTTGCGGCTGCTTCAGCTGCAAATTAGGGCGTCAATAATGTTTATAACGCATCGTGAAATGACCAGATTGCCCTTGGACCTCGCTGGATGTATTTAAAAACAGCGCCGAAGCTGTGTTCTGCCCGGAAACACGTGTAGATACTTACATGTTGGTCGTACAGCAGTAGAAGGTCTAGGGAGATTGAATTAAATGCTGCTACAGTGCAGCGCTCACAATCTAATACAGCAACGATGGGAATTTTTTAATCTTCAATTCGTTAAGTACGATATACCAGTAAACAAACGTAGACTAACCTGCAGGGAACTGGTGAGTCTTTTTCTCATTTAGATAAGCATCTTCGATCTTGTGGTATTTTACTTCGTAGCCACTAGGGGGCAGGCCACCAGTGTCGGTGGGTGGAGTGATTTCGAATGAGACAGTCGTGGGCGTGACAATGGGCCAGAAGACCGTGGGTTCTACTGGAGGAGCAACTGCAATATAATATTACCAAGTATCAAACATATTATCTACTAATATCACAAAGCAGCATTATACTGAATTTACAATTCACGTTGTTGCAGTTTTAACAGAAAAAAAGCGCTGCCAATTAAAAGTGACAAATTCAATACTCAACAACGCTTAGATTTATATTTTATAAAGCTGGCAAAGTGTAAAAAAATACATAAACCATCAACAGAACTCTCGTTAATTCTGTAGCGCCCACGGCAAACAGCTGCCGAAGAAAATTGATACATACGAGAGTAAAAATTCTCGTGAATATTAAAACACGACAAAAATGTCGGGAAAACGCACATTAAACATCGATATCGTCAATGTAAACACGACTATCAAAACACGGCATCTCGTTACGACCTCAAAACCCGCTAAATAATACATGATCTAATCGCTCCGGGGCAGTATCCTGCATTTGTTAGCGCTGTGTACGACTATACAGCGATACTACTCGTAGCAGCCAACCAGCAACCTACACGGCTGCCTTGATACACGATGCACAGCCAGCAATCGATTGCAAATCGAATAATACGTGTTCAAAGAGGCACTAGGCGATTAGAATATGGCTTTGAAATGAGATGATAACAAGCTACTCATATAGGAATCAATATGAAACTAGATATGAAATATTCGTTTATAAGAATCATTGGGATATAGGAATTTTGCCATTTCTGCTTAGAAATTTCTGTGTGATGTATTTCTCTCTTCGTGCACATATATACTAATCATAATATGATACTTGGGTTGGGGAGCCATGAAAATTTTGCATGGATTTTGGATTGGAGAATAGAAGCCTATAGTTAGGCTTGCATTCAGAGAAACCTTCAGGAGATCGTAAATATCTTTAGTTGCAAGCATGCCCAGCGATAGAAGATCGTATGTATAAACCAGAGTTACTATCACAGAAACTCAAACTGAGCAACAGTGGGCATTTTTTCAGCCCAGCTTTGCATGCAACTTTAATGCCAATTTAAGTGTTTGCAATATACCAGACCTAAACAAATTTATCTGACTTCAGAGGTCACAGAAGTTATATGGTACGTACGACAGATATAGTTGTTCATGCTGCTGTGTAGTGGTTATTGTTGTTGTTTGTTGTTGTTGTTGTTGTTGTTGATTGTTGCTGAAAACTTACAAGCTTCGTTGATGGCTACCATCCTGCTCTTGGTGCCAACAGGGTTCATGGCCCGACACTCGTAAGCTGCAAAGTCCTCACTGTTGGTGGTCTTCACCTGTAAACAACATGTACGTCACAGGGTTAGAAATAAACGCGTTTTCACCTTTTTTTAAACTACTTCTGTACTTTCAGCAAGTACTTGCTGCCAGAGAAAATGGAAGACAGCAAATTTACACTACACTACACATCCAGGCAGAATCTTTGGTGCTTTTACTATGGTTTACTAGGAATTGTTGTAATAAGTATAAGGCATAAATGTATAAGGCATATTTGTTGCCGACATTGTGAATAGGCAGCAAACTGACCCCTGCAGGCAGGAAAACTGCTGCTTAATTGCTGCCCTTAATTTCGAACCCGGCTTCAGTTATTGAAGATCCACGTATACGCGCGTATAGCTAAGCGTATAATATAAATACTATCAAGGGTGAATGAAAACAAATTGTTTTTATTCACTACTGATAGTATATAGATGCATTTCTAAAATGTTTACGATTACATGATAGCTGATAAACAGCTGTAGTATAATATAGCAATGTTTTAGCTGTATTATAGCCACACTATTACAAGTATTGCAGCTTTACAACAGCTGTATTTTAACAGCATTAGGGAAAGTATATAGTTGCTGAGAAATGGTTGTACATTGCATGTATAATTATATTATAGCAGAAATCTTATATAACGCACATCTATTATAAATGTGTTAAAGTAATGGGCCTGACACTGCTGTATTCCAATATAGTACTACAGTCCACAACCCACTTTTAGGAGTCACCTTGGAACTGGATACTTCTACGTATTTTATGCACAGCTTAATTTCAATTATGATTCACATCATGACAGTGACAATGATGCATATATAGCAGATACGTGACAGCCAACGTTGAACATTCCCTCATTACTATTTGCTAACACGTTTCCATGGTAACCAACAGGCTCTGCTCCAGGCCCCTCCAATCCCATCCATCTTTAAATAGGTGGGCATTGTACATACAGATAAATATACGCGAATATCACGTGATAATATATATGAATATACGTGATATGTGAATATCAAACATTTACATTCAGGAGGTGCAGCAATGAAGATGTATTGGGGAAACTGCTGACCACACTGTACAGTATTATAGATACAAGGATTCTCATGCAGTATCCATCACCCAGCCATCCCCTTTGAACCACAATTTTCATATCATTATATATTTGATATAATATGTATATATCAGGGGCGTAGCTAACGAACCCATGTAACAGTGCCTACATTTTTCTCGCAGGAGGGCAACTATACCCCTTGCCCTCCCACTAGCTACACACGCACCCACGAACACACACGCACACGCACGCGCACACCCGCATGCACACACTGTCACACACACACGCACGCACGCGCACACACACACACACACATGCACACACGCACACACACATGCGCACGCGCACGCGCACACGCACACGCACACGCACACGCACACACACATACATATACCTGAGTTTATCATAATACTATATAAGGGTATATAGTTACCGTGATTTCGCTGTGGTGACCTTCCCCGGTAACCGTCACGTCAAGCGGGTTGTTGAGCACCGGCTGACCGCCCTTGAGCCACTCCAAGGTCGCCGGCGGGTTTGCGTCCACGTCGCAGCTTATGTTCACAGAGTTGTTCACCCACGAGTAGACCATGTCCGGCATGTCCTTGAATATGGCCTCGTCTGCAGAGAGAGATGCCGTGTGAAATGTCAGCCATATTGCATGCGCTGTTAACTAGGTGGTGGTGGGGGGGGGAGATTATGGGTAGCTCACGATATGTATATATATATATATATATTCGGCATGTCCTTGAATATGCCCTCGTCTGCAGAGACATGCGAAATATTTCTTCTCACGTGAAATGTCAGCCATCATACATGTGCTGCTAACTAGGTGTGGGATGACACGGTAGCTAGCTCATGATACAAACCGTATCATGATGCAGCCTTCACGATACGATATGTATCACAATGCAGCCTTCACGATGCAATATGTATTACGATACAAGACATTATATGTATCATGATACAGCCTTCTGATATGACACGCATCATGATAAAGCCTTTACAATATGATTCGTATCACGATACAGCCTTTACGACATGATACGTATCATGATACAGCCCTTACGATATGATACGTATCATGATACAGCCTTCACGATATGATACGTATCATGATACGGCCTTCACGATATGATACGTATCATGAGCTGCCACCTAGATAGTACAGTCCGTATGTCGTATTGTATAAGCTACTAGGCAAAGACACATGCCCCTAGAAGTAGTGACAAGAGTATCTGTCCAGTATTGTAACTACAGGCAACACACATGCCCACTCTAGAAGTAGTACAAGGTATGTCAGTATTGTACTGTACAGGCAAACACATGCCCACCTAGAAGTAGTACAAATATGTCAGTATTGTAACTACAGGCAAACACAATGCCCACCTAGAAGTATCACAGCGTATGATCCAGTATGGTAACTACATCAAACACATGCCCACCTGAGGAAGTAGTCCAGAGGTATGTCCCAGTATTGTAACTACAGGCAAACACAATGCCACCTACAAAGTGGACAAGGTATGTCAGTATTCGTAAACTACAGGCAGAACCTAATCATGCCGCACCTAGGCACGGCGC